GGAGCTGCGGGGCGGTTTATTCCTAGTTTCCTTCGGACCACTTTCTATCCCCATTAAATAAAACAACAGCCCCTCAGCTGAATTTTACTATCTCCTCCTGAGGAGGCGGTTGGTATGAGGTCTCACAGCCGCAGGGTCTGCCTTGCTTGTAGATTTGCGCATAATGTGTCTGGACGCAAACAAAGAAATTGATATATCTACTATAAAAATGGATTGCCCTCCTTTCACCTTAAATGTGATCAAAAGGATTAACATTTGGCCTCGGTGAGGTTTTAAGTGTGTGTATGTGTATGTTTCACCCTCTTTTTCTAGAACCTGGTGCGCATTCTGTACAGGCCTCTTTGAAAGCTCTTTGCATTCCATGGAGACTGCAGTATGGTTCCAACGCATTTTTTTTTTAACTGACTACTTGGATCTCTGTCCTTCAGAACCCCCAATCGGCCTTATGCTAATCATTCTTTGACAGACTGAGAGGCTTCTTTATTTGACACTCCTGCCTCGTGGTGAATTTTTTATTAGGAAGGATGAGAAATTCTGGAAGACGATCAGATCAAATTCAGCCAATTCAGTTCCGAGAATGACTAACAAATACAGAAAAATAGGATTGTCTACTCCTGCCCTTAATTGTTGAACATATTATCCAGTGTGACACTTTGCTTTCATCACAAAATTTATTTTTTTCTATCGTCTCTGGATTAGTGTAATTTCTGCCTCCCAAGGTAATTATTTCACTGGAGGAGCTGGTTTCAACTGGTCAAGCCTAACTTATTAATCGAGTCAGATAATTGACCTTCATTTAACAATATTGTTCTTGTAGTTGAAAAGGTACCTTTATCATAGATTTCCTTAATATTACAGAAGGCTGTGGAGAATCTGAATCCTAAAAAAAAAACAATCTCACGTAGTAGGAGAATAACCATCCTTTGTGTTAATGAATCTTACAGTCCCGTAAGAATGTAAGCTCCTTTGGGGAAAGGGTTTTTCCTTCCTTGTTCACATCTTTATCCTCAGTGCCGAGAAGAGTTCCTTCTGCATAATAACTGCTCAGTGACACATATGTGGAACGAATGGATGAATATAGCTTTATAATGTACAAAATATTTAAAATATCTCTCTCACTTAATACAACCACCTTGAGAATTAGGTGGTGTCTCATTTTTACAGCTAAATCAATGGAGGCTAAGAAGTTAAGTAACTTTTCCAGGCTCCCACAGTTAGGGCTAGGACCCAGGCCTTCTGATGCTCTTTCCACTGGGATTTGGGAAGGGTGGACCAGGAGTGAAAGCAACTAACTGACACAACCCATGGTCATTATTATATCTCAGGATTTCATTCCAAGGACAGCAGCCTTAAACATATATAGGACATTAAAAAACATAAACCAGGCCAGTGGCAATCAGTGTTAAAGCTCAAGAATTCAGGGCATTTGTGTGTGTGTGTGTGTGTGTGTGTGTATACTTGCTCAAGCACATCTGTGTATAGTATGTCTACTATAGTTACCGTGTGACATTGTAGTTTTCAGTTCAGTCAATACAGGTAGCCATAATATTATCAAATAGCATAATAGAAGAGTGATGTTTGCATTACATCTAACTTAGATATAGGAGAAAGAAGGGGCAATAAAGAATATTGGAAGCTAGGGCCCAAGTGCAGTCTTCCACTTTAGTCAGGCTTTATGTTAGCTGTCATGTTCAGGTGGGGAAAATCTGTATTCCAGTATTTGTTAATGTTGATGTTGGCAGAGCTCTTGTTCTCTGGTCTATTCTGTGACAGAAGTCTCTTTTCTCTCAAGGGAACTGCAGAATACATGGTGAAACAGCCCATTCTAAACTAAATTTTTGATTTGTTGTTCAAGGGCCATCTCTTGACTTTTAGAACTGGTTGTAAACAGTAAGAGGGAACTAGTTTCATTTTTTTCACCATATAGTAGGACTTTCTGTGTTCTGTTTTAGTTGGGGCTCAAATAACTCCTAGGTCAGGGATATCTTTGAAAACTCCTTGATCATAAGACTAAGCCAAGAGGAGCTCAGATGTGCAGGGAGGCAAAACCACACTTCATTTCTTTTGGCGATAGTGGTGATTTTCAAGAAACAGGTTTAAATATCTTATTAACTCTTTAACAGCGTTTCTCAAACCTAAGCAGGCATCAGCATCATCTGTCAGGCTTGTTAAAAGACAGATTGCTGGGCTCCATCTCCCAGGGTTTCTGATTCAGTAGGTCTGACGTCAGGACCCAGAATTTCAGAATTTGCATTTCTAACAAGATCCTCGGTGATGCTGATGATCAGGTGATGCCATCCAGGGATTACACTATGAGAACCACTGCTTTATAGGATAAAATAAAGCAATGTTTTTCAATCTGCTTTTTGATCATTTTTCCGTCATAGTCCAGGCAACCAGAAAGTTCAGATAGCTGAAATTATTTCTCTTTTCTGTCTGTTTCGTAAAAGTAAACAACCTGTCAAGAATTTATTCTGCAAACAGTTTCTAAAATATATCTTGTGGCTAATGAAAATTTAGTACAGTCTTCTAATCAACTACATCTATAGCACTTACATAATTGTTCATATGAATGCCTAGGGTTCTTTGCAGTTCTTAAAAATTGTAGATAATGTGTATATATATTTATTTAATAAAACAGAATGTTTGGTTCATTGGAACATTCAGTTTTCCAATCGTCCTTCATCACTAGGATTAGAAGTAGAATCCTGGCCTGTTCGATGAGAGATTAACCAATCAGGGAAGTATATCTTAAAGTGAAACCAACTTTGCCACCTCAATTATTTGTCTCCTCCTTACTGATGTGAGAATGGTATTTGGAAGGCAGATGCCAGCAGACTTATGCTGTGAAACTAACTGCACATAGTAGGTAGAGGGCATCAGTTGCCAGCTAATGAAGTGTGAGTGGGAGTTTTCAAAAGATTTATCAATAATCTGGTTGTATGTTAAATTCATTTATGATGTTAGGAGTCTTAAGAATAGTTTTGAATAAATTTATACTTGGAAATCCTAATCTTTGCTGAGTTTTCAATCTTTGCTCAAATTTTTTATTTGGATCTAATAGACCCAGTTTAATATATTTAAAAATTTTTGAAAGCATCTATTACTGAATATTTATTAAATTTCAGGTGCCACTGTATATCATAAGTACACACCTCTATGTACTTGTCTTTGTTCAAGAATATAAGATTCATGAATTCAGATGTCTTTGTCCATTAGGAATCATCTTTTTATGTGCTAGGCATGGTGGGACAGTTGAGTAGCATGTTGATTTCCAAAAGTTTGGTACATAATAAGCTACTTTTGAAAATCCTAAAGATATGCTGGCGTTTTTTTTTTTTTTTTCCTTTAAGCATTTACAACCAAATGGTTAACAGACTGAAAGATATAATATGCATGAATCTTAAAATTACTATATTAGACTTGCCTTAATTATACTTTACATCATGGTCCCTCCGAAGGTAGAATACTATATAGCCATTAAATCTTATTTGATAATGACATGGAGAAAAAGCTTACAATATAGTAAATTAAGAACCAAAAAACCCCACCAGACTGTAAATCAGCATAGATGACTGATAACGATAGAGGGGGCAGTAGTATGGAAAACAAAAAAGAATAAAATGTAAACCCCAAAATGTTAGTGAAGTTATCATTGGTTGGATTTGTAGGCGCTTTTCTTTGTGGAGTCCCTAAAACTTCTGTAGTAAAGTTGTTACTTTTAAATCTACCACAGAAAAATA